TTAGAATTTGTGCAACTGTGTTCATGGAGGATAGTGTACTGCAGTTTTATAGTCATGTCTTTGGTAATTTGTCTCGTCAGTAATGCTGACTTCTTAGAATTAATCTTTAAATCTATCCTTTTCTAACTTTTGGAAGAGGTTATAGAACTGGTATGACGTTTTCCTTTACTATTAGGTAGAATTCCCCAGTGCCCTTATCCAGGCCTAATGTTTTCTGTAGGGGAAGTTTCCTCTTCTATTTTTTTTCCTTCCATTTAAAATTTTTGTTTTGAAATTACTATCAAGTCACAAGATGTTTAGTTCAGCTCATTTACCCAGTTTCTCCCAGTGGTAACATATGTGGTAACATAACTATGGTGAAATATTAATTCAGGAAGTTGGCATTGTAACATTCCAGAAAATTTACTCAGAATTAACAGTTTTATATGCATTCATACATGTGTACATTGTCCAAGCAATTTTATCATATCTGTTGTTGCTGTTATGCGTCGTACAGTCACGTGTGACTGATAGTGATCCTACATACAATAGCTCTGAACCCTGTTCTATCCAGAGCCAATCTCACTGTCTCTGACACATCTACTCCCATTGCCCCAGTTACTGTATCAATCCATATCATCCAGGACCTTCCTCTCCTGCTGTCCCTCCACTATTACAAGCATGATGTCCTTCTCCAAGGATCAGCCCCTTCTGGCCATGTGCTCAAAGACAGAACTTCAAAATCCTAGCCTCCAAGGACAAACTTGGTTTCTCTCTTTCCAAGACAGACTGTTTTCTTGGCAGTCCATGGTATGCCCAAGACTCTTCTCCAGCATCACTACTCATATGCATTGATCTTTCTTCTATCATTCTTAATCATTGCCCAGCTCTTTGATAGCATCTTGTGATCACCACCACAGTCAAGATACAGAACTCTTATTATCACAATGCTTCTTATACCTAAGAGTCATTTGAGTGGACCCTCCAACTACATGCCTGTGGAAGAGTTTTTAAACTTAAAACTTGATATTTTTAGTAAATATAAGATTATTCAGGTCACCTATTTCTTTTTGAGTGAATTTTGATAATTTAGAGACAGTGAACTGTGTTTCCCCCCCCCCCCCATATATATGTGGTAAATCCTAGTCTGTGTATTTGTGGTTATAACCCCATTTGGGAATGGCTTCCTTTCTTATGTTAATGTGGCAGTGGCCATGCAGACCCACTGCCACCAAGTTGATTCAGATTCAAAACAACCCTTCTATTGAGTTTCTAAGAATTTAAATCCTTCTTCCTCTGGAGGAGCTAATGGGTTTGAGCAACTGACCTTCAGTGGTTGTTTTTTTGTTGTGTGCCACTGAGTCACCTGCAACCCACTACAACCCTATGTACAGCAGCTCTGAACCCTCCTCCCCTGTCCTGAGGCAATCTCACTAATTCTGACACACCCACCGAAATTGCCCCAGTTACTGTATCAATCTATCTTTCGGCGAGAGCCTGAAATATTAGTGTGAGGTATGTCTTAAATCAATCCCTTCTGAGTTATAAAAGAGCAGATTAAGCAAGCAAGTGGAGATGGGGATAGATTTATACCATGCTACATAAAAATCACCAGACAACCAAAAATCAAAGCTGAATAGAGACAAGGAGCTTCCCAGAATCAACTGAGAAAGAAAGGCTTTCTCCCTCTTAAATTGTAAGGAATTAAATTTCTGTTTGCTAAAGCCACCCACTTTAGGGTGTTTCTCTTATAGAAGCACTAGATGATAAGTAAGGAGCGAAGGAACTTCCTGAAGCTCACACAAGGCCTCTCCACAAAGTACAAATTACATTGTAATAATAGTGATCAGGAACAAGGTCTACTTCTGTTCAGCATTGTACTAAAGTTTCTAGTCAGTGCAGTCAGACAAGTAAAAAGAATAAAAGGCATTCAGACAAGATAGGAAAGGGAAAAAGAAAACCTGTCTAAATTCATGGATAACACAATCCTACATACAGATTTTCCTAAGAAATTCACAAAAAAATCCTCCAGAACTAATGAACAAATTGAGCAAGATGAAAATCAATATATCCAAAAAAATTACATGCAAACAATGAACAATCTTAACATGAGATTTTTATAAAAATCCCATTTATAATGTCATCCCCCAAAAAAAATTATTAGGGAAACTATATCATTGCTATACAAAATAATAAAGAGATGTAAAAATCCGGTGAGGTATCTCAGTCACAAAGGGACAAATGCTATATGGTGCCACTGTTGTAGAATGAGGCTGATGGGGGGTAAGACTGAGAAAAACTGGATGAAATATGTTTACGGCATTGAAGTCTATGGGGGAGAGAATAGTTTAAAAGTATTATATTATAGGGCATTGGCATTATGTTTATCATAAGAATATGGAATGAGGGTTGCAGAGTGGATTATATTTGGGGTTGGGGGTGGCGTTGGGGGAAGTGCGGGGGGATTGTGTACCAATGAGGGAGTTTTTCTTTTGCTTTTCAAGGAGAGGAGCTAACGGGGTGTGTGTGTGTGTGTGTGTGTGTGTGTGTGTAGGTGGGGTGGGCGGGGAGAAGGGTGCAACAATGAATGAATGGAAGTCCAAAATCTCTGTAGATGTTCATTGAAATGAAAAAGAAATAAATTCATTTAATTAAAAAAATCCATTTTATAATCTTGAGTTAAAGATTTCCCAAATATAACACAAAAGCATGATTTAGAAAAGAAAAAAGTGTAATTAAATTTCATAAAAACTTTAAAATTCTGCTTTTGAAAAATACTATTTAAAGAATAAAAAGAACAAGCCACAGATTAGTAAAAATCATGTTTAATCATATATCTAATGAAGGACTTTTGTCCAAAATATGTAACAAATATATTTTTTTAAATTAAAAAAAAATATTTAAAAAGACCCTTTATCAAAAAAGATTTACAGATAGCCAATGAGCATAAAAATAGACATTTAATTTTTAGTAATTAGAGAAATGCAAAACAAATACATAAAGAGTTATAACCACATACTAATTCTTGTTGTTATATACTGTCCAATAGAAACCAACTCATAGCTGATCCTCCAATGAGTTTTCAAACTGCATGGGAAGAGACTGCCCATCTTTCTCTCATGGAGCATCTGGTAGATTTGAACTGTGTATCTTCACATTGGCAGAACAAGTCTTTACCACCAAAGGACCAGAGAGTTCCCAAAGACTGTTGTTGTTGTGCTCTGATGAGTCAGAACTGACCTATAGCTGATCATTCAGAGGGTTTTCAGAGGCAATAAATTGTAGGGAAGGAGATTACCCAAATTTCTCCCTCGGAGCAGCTGGTGGATTCCAACTCCCTGACTTCAGGTTGACAGCGCAGCTCCTTGCCATTAGGCCACCAGAGCTCCTTCATAGAAAGACTATCGTTGTTAGGTGCTGTCGAGTTGCATACACTCATAGCGACCCTGTGAACAATAGATGTGAACCCTGTCCTGTCCTGTGCCTTCCTCATGATCTCCGACACACTCAAGGCCCTTGCTGCAGTCACTGTGTCAATCCACCTGGTTGAAGGTTTTCCTCTCCTTCACTGTCCCTCTACCTTTACAGGTATGATGTTCTTTTCCCCAGCCTCTCCTAGCAACATGCCTAAAGTATGTGAGATAAATGCAGCTTCATCATCTTTGCCTCAGAGGAGCATTTTGGCTGCACTTTCCCTAAGATGCATCTATTTGTTCTTTTGGCGGTCCATGGGATATTCAGCACTCTTCTCCAACACCACAGTTCAAAGGCATCTGTTCTCCTGTCATCCTCAGTCATTGGCCAGCACGCAGATGCACAGCAAGTGACTGAAAAGACCATGGCCTGAATAAGGTGTGCCTTAGTTCTCATACTGACATCATTGTTCCTCAAGAATTTGGAAAGGTCCCTGACTACAGACTTTCCCAGTGCAGTTTTGGAAGAAGCCTTGTTTGTAATACCAGTAACAACAGTGTCTTAGTTACTGGTGCAGCTACCAGAAAAAGCACCAGTGAATGACTTTAGTAAACAGATGTTTTCTGTCACATTTTATGAGGCTGAAAGTCTAAATTTAGAGTACTCACTTGAGGGAGCTCTGGTGGCCTAGCAGGTAGGGAGTGGTGCGTTTAACCCAAAGTGGCACGCCTCGCAGCAGTTCAGTCCACCAGTTGTACAGGAGAAAGACGGATAAGAATTTCCTCCCGTGAGAAGACTTGAAGGGCAGTGAGTTTATGAACTCTGGGAGAAGGCTTTCTCTCAGCTCTGGGGAAACGCCCTTGTCTCATTTCAAAGGCTCAGCATTCCTTGGAGATTTCCATGCATTGGAAATTTAAATCTTGGAGATTTAAATCTTCCCCAAACCCCTCCTCAATGAAATGGCTCTGTACATGGACCCCAAATCCAAACGTGCACTCTGCTCCCTTTATTAGCAATACTGTGGTCCCTCACTGTCTGCTCCTTGGTTTAATCTCTTTTATATCTGAAAATAGGTTGATATGATCTATATCAAGATATAACCTAATCCTGTATATACTATCCTGCCTCACTAGTATAACTGCTCTTAATCTTTCATCCACTTAAGGAGCTCTCATGGCTTAGTGGTAATGAATTGTATTGTCAACCCAAAGGTATGTGGTTCAAGTGCACCAGCTGTTCTATGAGAGAAAGATGGGCAGTCTCTGCCCATGGGATTTACTGCCATTGAAAATCTCCTGGAAGTTCTAACTGGATGGTACACAACAACAACAATCTTTCCTCATTAACATTTTAGAGGTTAGGATTTACAACACATTGATTACATCAGATTATAAACCCAGAAGGTAAGGGAGTTAATGAGATAACTGTGAGAATAATGGCCAGGTCAAGTTGATATATATTAGAAATGGAAAGGACAGTTCAAGTCATAACAAAAGGGAAACAGCCAAGTGTCCACCAGCAAATGAATAGCTAAACAAATTACTATATGATATAAAATTATGCTTATTTCAAAATAATGTATTTGAATCTTGTTTGTTTTCTTTCAGGAATAAATCTAATGAAGCTAATGACTGTCAAAGAAAACTTAGAAAACTGACGTTTGAATCTATTATTTCTGAGTCACGGTATGCATTGAAAAACTTAGGAATTTAATACTTGAACTTGAAATAGCTCACTTAAAAGATAATTAAATTTTTTACTATATTGTTTACTTATACCTATTTCAATTTTGTAATGTTTTGCAGTTTTTTGCAGAGTTTGCCTGATGACTACATGGGAAAAATTTAACATTGTACAACTATTTCTTAACATTTTTACTTTTTAAAACATTAAAGCAACGCCCTACAATTAAAAATTACTTTTTCATGTATCTTGGGTAAACATAAAGCATTACATCTAATAATATTATATATATCTTAATTTAATTAATGCCTTTTGTTTGTTTATAATTCTCCTTTAGTCACACGAGACAGCTTAGAGAAAAAGAAGAATCTTTAACAGCTTGTCAAGAATCATACAGAACTTTACAGGAGAAACTAACTACAAAAGAAAGACAGCAAGATGACATAAAAAGAAGAATCACCCTTGCAGAAAATGAACTTGAAGTAACGAAAACTCTTCTGAATCAGACGAAGGAAGAGGTGGTAGCACTGAAAAATGAAAGGTGCGGTAAAAAATAATTTCTCATAAAAATGTCTTAAGTCACTAATTACTTTAGGCGTGTTATCAGCTGGGGCCATTCCTTGGAAAGAGACGTAATGTTTGAAAAGGTGGAGGACTGGAGAAGGAAGGAGTGCCCCCAATGAGATGAATGGGTACAGCGTTCACAAGCAGGGGCTTAAACACAGTGGAGGTGGTGAGGCTGGCACGTAATCAGGCAAAGCTTCAATGTGCGTAGGATGGCCGTGAGTCAGGGTCAACTCGATGGTGCCTGATGACAACACTGCGTACATAAGGAGCCTCAATAGTGTGAGGGGGTGGGTGCTCGACTTGTAGCCGAAGGGTTGGCAGTTTGAACCCATTAGCCACTCTTCTTCTTCCATAAAGTTTGCAGCCTTAGGAACCCGTGGGGCAGTTCTACTCTGTCCTATTGGGGTTGCTCTGAGCCACAACCAGCTTCACAGCGATAAGCTTCCATTCCATATGTTTTTGAATGATCAAAACCCTCCATAATTTTTTTAAAAAATTATTTTATATTGGTTTGCATTTGTATGCATTGTTTCATACAATCATTCCCATATGTTGTATTTTATAAAATTAATCTCCATTGAGCTATGCCCTCAGCACTCTGTCTCTTTAGATCCCTGCCAGATCTTTCCCATTTCCTTTCCCCTCTCCTCTACCCATCAAGTTGCACCTTACTCCACCACACCATTGTCCAGGTGGTTCACTGAAGCCTGAGGTGGTTAAAAAGGACTTGCTTATAAAGTCACACAACTCATGAGTGACAGAAGGATAAGTGGGACTAAGATCCTTCCATTTGGTGTTGGATTTTTATTCAAAAGAATTGAACAAGATAATGTGTGGGTTTTTTATTTTAATGTAAGATTTTCTTTATTTGGCTAGGGCTATTGCATTGACAAGAATTATTCTATTAAACATTGTCCTTTTTTCATTTTTTAAATCTGTTTTTTTAATTGTTATTAAATTTTATTAGTTTTAATGAACATTTACAGAGATTTTGGGTTTTCATTCATTCATTGTTACACTATTTTCTCTACCTTCCTCCCCAGTTCGTTCTTCTTCCCCCCCCCCCCCAAATGTCTGTTTTAATTGTCCAGTTGCCACAGTGCTAATGTGTGGGTCTTGAACTACTAACTTTCACCTGGGTCGGTTATTGGTGGCATTCTATAATTTTCTAACAGCAATTCTGTATTAATTTCCCCTTTCATTGGTTCTCTGAGTAATTAACCTATTACCTGGACTACCTTCTTTCCAGTGATGCCAGAGTGAATAAGCTTAACCGTTTCCCTGGACGAATGTTACCTGGCTCCCAGTGTCAATGAGATTCCACCTTTGTTCAGACATGTTTGACACTCCTCTGACTGCTGGCTTATGTGACCATTCTGTGCAGTATTTTCAGTATGATAGACCTTTAGTCTTTAGGAAAGGATTTAATTTTTTAAACCCCCTAAAATAGGCCCAGTATGTGTAGTTAATATGATGGGAAATTAGGGAATGCCACTTGAGATTAAAAGTAAAGCTAAATGTTTTCTTTTTTCTGTGTTTAATAAACCGTCTCTGGCTGCGATTTGAAAGCAGGAGTTTTATGAATGTTTTGAGGATTGGCAGCATCATTAAAATTAATATCAAGCCTTCCCAGGAGGTTGCTTTGAAAAAGCACAGTCACTGAATGTGTATGTTTTGGCACTTTTTAAATTTTAGTGTGATTATAATCACACTTTCTGTTCTAAATATTGAATGATAAGAAAAATTTGTATAAGCTTTTGGAAATGAGGTTGTCACCTTAAATCTTTCCTTCTTTTCTGCCCCCTTCTTTTCTTGTGCCCATGGCCTTTTTAACTCTTTATCTGTGGTTTGTTTAGACAATACACATGTAGATATGATATCACTTTGTGACACTAAGTTTATTGGCATGATATTTCTCACATAATAAAGGTAAAAATGTGCTTGTGAATCAGCAGTTTCTCGTATAATCGTAGGGTTTCACCTAGCCATGTGCTCTGTTCTCTTACTTTGGGTCCTAGGCCCCTTTCAGATTGTGGCTGCCCTGCCCTCTGCTGTACCCCAGGGTGTGGCGTGTGTGTCCATTCGATAAATATTTGTTGAATGAATGAGTAGGTGAATGGGTTGATTTTGAGAATTCTGTTAGACAGCAATGATTCGCTGAGCAATTACAATCTCCTTGAGACTGGCATTCCAGGGTGGTGAAAGGATTTAATAGTCAGTTACTAACTGAAAAGTTGTCAGTTCAACTCTCCCAGAGGTACATTGGGGGAAAGTGTGATCATCTGCTTTAGAAAGACCACACCGCTGAGAACCCTGCTCTAAAACACGCACAGGTGCTGAGTTGGGATTGACTTGGTAGCATCTTTGCTTTTGGTGCATCCTTAGAGATAAAAGAGAGGATAAGAGACAGTTCCAGGCTGGGGAACTTGGATTGTAATGGAAACGGTGAACTGTTGAAAAGGTGGGCAGTCTCCTCCTCTGGGATCTACAGCCCCACAAACCTGCTGTGAGTCAGTTCTGCCTCACCAGCAAGGAGAACTAGAGTAACTCTTTTTAAAAACCAGCCCGCAGGCATGCAGACCCCTCACTGTGAGGTGATTCTGACTCATACTGACCCTCCACCCAGTCACCATCTCGGTAAAGTCTTACAGGAGGAAACTGCCCATCTTCTTCCCACACAACAACTGGTGAAGTCATAACCTTGACCTTTAGGTTAGAAGCCCGACACATTATGCACTTGTCATAAAGGAGTATGAGTGAAAGAGAGCCTGTGAACCACAGATCTGAACCCTGCCCTAGCCTGTGCCGTCCTCCCAATCTCTGTCATTCGTGTCAGTCCATCTCGTGGAGGCTCTTTTCTCTTTCACCAACCGGCCACCTTTCCAAGCATGATGTTTCTCTCCAGGGAACACGTCCAAATTTAGTGAAATGAAGCTTCACCATTTTTGTTTTGAAGGAACACTCTGGTTGTATTTTGTCTATGATCTGTTTATTCATTTGAAAGCCCATAGGATATTCAATTTCTCTTCTCTAGCACCACAACTCAAAAGCATCAATTTCTTCTCTCATCCTTATTTATTGTCTAGCTCTCAGATGCACAGGACGTGGTTGAGAAGACCATGGCCTGAATCAGGTACACCCTGCTGCTTCAACATCTTCTAAACCAGGTTTGAACTTCTGGAAGTTCTGTGTCAACTTACCGTTCTAGCTATTTTTCGATGATCTTCAGCAATATTTTGCTTGTATGTTATGTTAAGGATACTGTTTGATAATTTCTACCTCGTGTTATATCACCTTTCTTAGGAATGGGAATAAATATGGATCTCTTCCAATTAGTTGGTCAAGTAACTGTCTTCCAAATTTCCCATGACAGACTGGTGAGCATGTCCAGGGCTACATCTGTTAGCTGAGACATGTCAGTTGGTATCCCATAGAATATTGGGGCCATATTTTTTGTCAATGCCTTCAGTGTAGCTTGAACTTCTCCCCTCATCGCCATTGGTTCTTCCTTTTTTATTCTCCAACTCCAGCTCTTTACATATTCCATTATAATACTTTGCTTTGTCTTCTTGGATTGCCCTTTGAAATCTTATGTTCATCTATTTTATTTCAGCCTCTCTTCCCTTTGTTTTAGCTTCTTGATGCTCCAATGCAATTTTCCAGATCTCTTTTGACATCCATTGTGGTCTTCCTTCCTCCACTGTCTGTGGAATGCTGTCTTTTTGTTACCGTCAGGATGATCGTATGGTATAAGGTGCTGTGTTTAGGTTGCTGTCTCCTCTGGATGGGTGATTTCGGATCCCACTCCTGACATGCCTGGGAGAAAATGGTCATAAATATGACTTCTAATGTGTCACAAAAAGCAAGACAAGTGGAAAATATCACTTCAACAGGGTAGGACTTTCCAAGCAAGGAATGAGCATGATGAATTAGTAAAGGCTATTTGTCTTCGGTGTCATAACGCATCACAGCAAATAGTGAATGTAGAGCCCACAAAGTCAAGGTTGTCAGGGCATGGCAGGCCTTTCCTTTGGGAATCTGGGTATCATCTCAGTGTGATGGGAAGAAACCAATGACGGGATTTAACAAGGAGTGACACTGTAGATAGGTTGTCTTGGTTGCTGCATGGAGGTAATATTAGCCGTAGTCAAGCTAGTGAATTTCCTTTTTTGATATCAAAGGATTTTATTTCTGGATAAGCTTAACAAGTGTGAAAAAAATGAAAACTTCACGCTCTTACCCTCTGCTAGTTTCAGTTGGGTTAGTTAATGTGTTTCGCTGATGGATGATAGCAAAAAAGCTGCATGATGAGCCGAAGTGGATATATTAAAGTCAGGTTACAAAGAAATACTGAAGAACACTAACTTTTAGGACACGTTTGACATTACTGCCCAAACCTACCTTGAGACATTTGTCTTCCTTTGGCTTCAGACACGAGGTGCTCTCGAGTCTCTTTCCGGTCAGGATAGGATTTTCCCCTCTGTTGGCACTTCGGCCATCCCTTGAGCACAGATATCCTTTGCTCTAACAGTCTCAGCTGAGCAAGTTTGATCCTGAATCTTTGATCTGCAGGCCCTACAGGACCTCTGAAGGGAGGTGCCTTAGAGCAGATGGAGGTGGGAAAGCCCCTCTGAAAGAAGCTGATCTCCAGAAAAACGTCAACCCTGAGGCTTGACTACACCCAGAATTTCTGGTTTACTAGTTCTGGGTGGTGCCCTGCAATCCGCTCCACAGCCAAAGTCACACATTACTCTCTCTCAGGGAAGTGTTAGACCAGCCCTGGCTGCCAGAACCCCTGACCACGGCCAGAACCCAGCCTGCTCCGTGGCAGCCTGTGTCTCGGCGACTTCAGGGCGCGCCTCACCCACTAACCCTCCTTCATGCCCCATAGCAGCCCTTGCTGAGGTCGTCACTGGGATGGTTATAAAAAATGTGCAGCTTGACTCAGAAGTAGAGAGAGAGAATATGTAAAAA